CTCCAGTCTACATCGTGGACTCTCCAGAAAACCACACAGCTGCTTCACTCCTGAATCCTGCAGCTTGTTCTGACTCAGGTTCAGTTCTCTCAGATGGGATGGGTTGGACTTCAGAGCTGAGCTCAGAGAAGAACAGCTGATCTCTGACAAACTGCACCATCTCAATCTGAATAAAGAATAAAGCATGTAAGTTTAGAAACAAAACAAAACTTTTAAAGACGTGATGTAAACTAATAACAATAATTTCAGGACAATTCAAAATGATTTCTTTGATAACTGAACTTTCAGTCTGTTTCTGTCAGTAGACCTGCTACATTCACACATCAGCTGATGATTCACTCCATGACTTTGTTGTTTGAAGTTCTGTTGGGATATTGGGTCCCAGTAAAATGAGCAGCCATTAAAGTTTGAACAGGAATATTTGGATTAACAGTCCCATGGAATCAGCAGCTGTATAAATGTTAGAGTGATGGTCCAGATGTTCTGAAGAGGCTGTATGATCCGTTTCATTGATGGTTCTGATGGTAACGTCTTGTAAAATACAAACATTTAGTTTGGACTCTACTGGTTTTACTGGAGCTTTTTAACACAAAGTGTCTCATGTGGCCTGTGAGTGTGTTCAAGTTTTCCAGCAGATTTCTCAGATTTCTTATGTTGAAATTATGAGTTCATTGAAAATGAGTTTGACTCAAATGAATCATTTGAGCTGAAACTGGAAGCCACAGGTTAGATTTATTATATTAAATGATCAATAAAATATACATCCCTAAATAAACTTTGTATTGTGATGAAATTAGAAATGAAAATACAACATTTGATTGTTTCAATGTGGAGCTCTGACTGGTTTTTAGGACGACGCTGGAAGTTTGAGTTGAGTTTTATTTGACAATCTGTTTCAAATCTTACAGCAGCTGGTAGAACTAGAATGAGATATTAATGCTGTTTCAGTCACATTTGAATATTTGGGATGTGATTAAGAAAAGATTCAGTGAACACATGGAGCTTCTTCCTGACAGCTTCACATCAAAGTGAGTTCAGTCTCTGTTACCATGGTGATGTGATCAGGCTCAAAGAAATGCTGGTTTGTGACTCTGAGAACTTTCAGCTCAACACAGCTGTTCCCTTCACTTTGTAGTCCAGCTCTCTGGTGATCCACTGAGCGAGCATCACAACCTCATGAAGATGAGGTGAAAAGTGAACTTGCACGTCAACACTTCTGCTTCCTTCACTAACACAAGCAGACATATGTTGTCACCTTCCATGTTTCAAAAGTCAGCTTGATGTCATGTGAAGTGTGTGAGCTCCAAGAATGAAGTGTAATCTAAATGTAGAGCAGGGCAGCTCATTTAGTTTGTTTACCATATGTTGTTCTGCTTTCTTCAACATGTTGCATTATTTGACAGCTTCACGTGTGCACATCACACTGAAACGATCATTTCTATTGTTCAAGTGTTGGACACATCATTTGTACACAAGTTTTATTGAGTCATTTCATAAGAAGCTGTGGGCAGCAGTGGTTAGTGCATGTTTGCCTCCCAGCTTTTCTGTGTGGACTTTACATGATCTCTCTTTGCACACATGGCTTTTTATTTGTGCACAAATTCAGCTCACAAACATTTTGTGCTTGTAAATCAGTTTAGTAACCTTGTAAAATAAATGTGTTTGTGAATGTGTAGATAAGAATGTGTGTAAAAAGATTTGTGTTAGTAAAAATAATGAGACAAGTTACAAATCTTTGTTGTGAAGGTCTGTTTACAGATACAAATAAAAAACTACGGATAAAACTCTGCGTGAGTTTCAATTTGCAAGAATGAATTATGAGCAGATTTTTCTTCCTCTCAGCTGATCCAAAGATTAATTGTTGAAAGTTTCTTTGAAATCTGTTCAGTGGTTTATGAGATATTTTGCTAACAGACAAACAGGACTGACTCCAACAAATTATGTCAAGGTTTTAGACAAAAAATGTAGCACAATGTGTTTCACTCAAAGTATGTGTTGAGTATGATGCTCAGCTACTACCACAACAACTGTCAGCTCAACATCTGTCAAACTGGCTGAGTTATAGTCATGTTGCTGTTTCCTGAAGTCAGTTGGCTGTGGCGGCCATCTTTAATTTAGTTAACTTAAAAAAAAAGTTGTAAAGACACATTCAATGATTAGTTTTGTTAAAGATTTGTTAATGATTTTAATGATACGATAACTTTTACTGATAGAACCCCCCCCCACACACACACACACAAACTCACACACACAACAACAACATTGTCCCTCCTCCTCCATCAGCAGGTGATAAACATGTCTGACCTCAGAGTCTCCAGTCTACATCGTGGACTCTCCAGAAAACCACACAGCTGCTTCACTCCTGAATCCTGCAGCTTGTTGTCACTCAGGTCCAGTTCTGTCAGATGGGAGGGGTTGGACTTCAGAGCTGAGCTCAAAGAAGAACAGCTGATCTCTGACAAACTGCAGCTCCACAAACTGAATGAAGAATAAAACATGTAAGTTTAGAAACAAAACAAAACTTTTAAAAACTCTGAACTGTTAAAAACTTTGATCCAACTGAAAAATGTTTTAATGTTTCAAATTAAACTTTTAATTGTAAGAGCCATTTATTCAAAGGAGATGAAAACTTCATGCAACACTTGTTATTTTTACAGTTTGAGTTATTTCTGTGAATAATAGTTTGTTAGTGAGTTAAAGAACAGGATAAATAACAACATGTGTATGTTATATATTCTTATTACGTGCTGCATTTTGATTGGCTGCTGAATTTGTAATATAAAGTCATGAAAGGCATCAGCAGGGCAGAAGTCTTGCACCCGAGAGTAACTCAGTCTTTAGACGTCACTTTCCTTTTGTTTTCAATATGTTTGTTTTGTTTCCATTTAAGTTCAGTAAAGTCACAAAACTAAAAGACTGGATTCAAGACTTATTCTGAAGAAACGTGTCACGTCACAAAGAGCTTGTTGGGTGTTGAACTAGTGAGGGCTGGTGGCACTCACATTAATTATTGAAGTTTATTCAGTAATAATAAATAATAAGTGTTAGTTTCAGCTCTGCTTTTATTGTGAAAGTCATGACTTGAACTATGAGCTGAACATCAAGTGTGTCAGAGTTTCCAAGTAAATGACACAATGTTTAATATTTGATGTTCAATGAAAGCCCAGAAGAAGAAAACAGAGTTTGTCATGAAGCTCCTCAGTGTGGATCAGTAAAATATCAGCCTTATGTCGGCACTTTAGTGTCACCACAACTTTCACATCACATTCATCTCAGCAGTAAACTAAATAAAGACCTACCATTCCTTGAAGGAATGCATATCGCCCGCCGCCTTTCATTACAGGAACAACACTTAGACTGGACTCTGGATCAGACTTTTTACAGACATTGGACCTTCTTCAAAACACACTTCAGAATTTATCACATCTATTTTCCTGTTAGGTGTGAGCGTTGAAACCCTCTTTTGAACTTTTATAAATATTGATTTCATAAATGACAATCTGTGTTTTCATGTATTTGTATTCAGTTCAGAATAATTTAGATCAAGTTTGACAAGTAAAAGTATTTTAGATTTGAACCAGAGCTGACTGAAGATGGAGTTGAGTCCAGAAGTTAATCAGTTGTAGAAGAACATCCAGATTATTTCCTGAAACTTTGAATTAATTACATTTATTGATTCATGGAATAAGGAGCGGCACAGTGGAGCAGTAGTTAGAGCTGTTGCCTCACAGCAAGAAGGTTGCAGGTTCACTTCCCTCCAGAGGTCTTTCTATGTGGAGTTAAGATGTTCTTGCCATGCTCATTATTCTAACAATATAAACAAATG